AAACGCAGAATTGAAAATAAGTGTAAGGGTGAAAGACTAGAAATTGTATGTGAATGTATTAAAATATTGCGTTTTTATATAAATGTTTTCCATGACTTTTTTATAAAGAATAAATAATATACATATATATATATATATATATATATATATATTGCCACATATATGTTTCATAATTCACAAATAAAAGCAAAGCATCAAGTATATCTGATAAGCGATCCCTCAAACCAATCTCTCGTAATTAACTGTAGGCGATGTTGAAAACCTTATTATTTAAACAGAAAAACCGTATAAATGTTGTCTGTCTAAATAGGTTGAACAGAAAATGTAGATGTTCCATGCAAGCTTTGTATGATTAAGTTGATTGCTTTTATGATTTTAAGCTATTGTCTTAGATTCCAATAGGGAGAAATATGGTTTTCTGTGATTGATTCAGATATCCATAGGGGAAAATATAAAGTTGTAAAATAAGTACATATACATGGAAAATATGGAGAAATTAATAAGACACAGTACAGTTGGAGAACTAAAGACTTAAAACTGTCTACCTTCAGATCTCAAGAGTCCTATATAAGCCATCTACTTTGATAATTATTATTTCCGACTTTATTACTATTGGGAAATAGAAATATGTTAATGGTGACATCGGAATTTTATTCAAATATCATGGTTTGAAAGTTTGTTTCTTAAATCTAGGCATGGAGATACGTTAAAAAGTACTAAAGGAACTTAGAAGTTTGTTACAATTGCTTAGAGAAAGATATGAATCAAGTATAATCTCAGAATTTGTTTCCTAGGTAACTGAAATAAAAATTTAAAACTATGCTGAGAGAATAAATTGTCGATACGCATTCATTTCAAAAGACCATTCTATAAATTCAAAAATCAATAGAAACTAAAGAAATATAGTAACTATAAGTGCATGAAGAATATACAGAAAAGTTATAACGCAGGAATGCACAAAATTTCATTTTTATAAAATTCATCTTGCACCCTAAATCTTTTGCGCTGCGCTGATTTAGAATAATATTTTGCAATACCGATTTATTTCGTATATTGCTTTCCTTTTTTTTTACTATTGCATCTATATTTTAAATCAAAACTACTTTATTCCCATTTCTAATGTTCCAGAATATTGCCTCGATTTGGAAATGTGAAATCAAAAAATATGTATTGTAACAGTCCATGAATGTAACCAAACTGCTATCGCCACCTGGTGTGAAGTATGGTTGTTAAGATACCGGATCCCCCTTTTTCTTTTGTTGTACCGTGTGGTTATAATTAAAGTTACACTATTCAGAGGTCTGTAAAACCTGTACTGCTTATCAGATTTTGATGAAACTAGGAATATATGTTCCCATGGGGAATAGATTTCTGCAATAAAAAAAATTAGTACAAATTTGGCCACCAGTTGGCTATTATCGATTATTCCTTAAGCAAATCTGTAAAACCTTTATATAATTGTGCAGTCATAGCCGGAGAATCATGAAGCGTGCGTTTGTCATCGTTAATCATGCCCTTACAAAATAAAGAGGAAAGATTGAATTTTACTGATAAAACTGTTTTATCAGAACGGCCGCTACCACTTAGTTGCTCAGCGAGAATATCGTCGTTTAAAAGATCTGCGAAAAGGCCCCATATCGAGGAAGATGATCATGAGGTTTGGGTGCGCTGCCCGGAAGAGGACGGAAACCAGTTGGGACTGAAATTGTCGAAGAAGTCGCTATTGCTGTGATTGAAAGAGCCTCCAGTTCCATCTACTCTTCAGCAAGTGGTCACACGTATTGGAGATTGTCAAGCGTATTTTGTGATCTTGAGGTTTTAACGTTTGCATTGCGGGGATCTTATTCGGATACCATTTTAAAATGTACCGCAGAATTTTTCATACTGTCGACCAAGGAATCTCCAACTCACGTGTGACACCAATCGACTACTTGCAGAAGAGTAGAAGGAACTCGAGGCTCTTTCAACCACAGCTGTAGCGACTTCTTCGACACTTTCAGTCCCAACCGGTTTCCATCCTCTTCCGGGCAGCACACACAAATCTCCAGTCTCTTCAAATTTCATGATCATTCTCAAACCAATCCTTGATATGAGGCATTTTCGCAGATACTTTAAACGACGATATTCTCGCAGAGAAACTAAATGGCTGCTGCCGTTCTGATAAAACAGTTTTACCAGTAAAAAGCTCGATTATTTTTTTTTTGTAAGGGCATGATTAACGATGACAAACTCACACTTAATGATTCTCCGGCTATGACTGCAAGTTTACATAGAGGTTTTACGGATTTGCGTCAGGAATAATCGTTAAAAGCCACCTGGTAGTCAAAATTTGTACTAATTTTTTTTATAGCAGAAATTTTTCCTCGTTGTTCATATAGCATATATTCCAAGTTTCATCAAAATCCAATAAGCAGAACAGGTTCTACAGGCCTCTGAATAGTGTAACTTTAATTATAACCACCCGGTACGTGAGTGTGTTTGTGTAATATACTTTATGTAGTTATTCTGATTCCTGTGGTGTGATGTGTCCGTCTGCTGTCCACCCAAAATAAAAAGGGTTCTTAACCTACCTTCGATGAGAGTATCTTCATTCAAATACTGAAAAATGCACTACACTCGCGTACAGCAAGACGTTACAGTATTACATTTATTGTGTAATCACAAATGTTGAAATTGTTGCGATTTTCAAATGCTTTCTAATCTGATGGACAAACTTCATTCCACTTAGCCTAGTGAGGTTGTTTAGAGAGGGGTGTCGAACTCGTCACTTGACCATGGTTCAAAATTAAGAGGTCCGTCCCCAATAGCCGTAGTGTTGCATTATAGCGCATTAATAAACATCATTCAAAAGAGGAAATTTTCCTAATTCGTTAAAATTAATAAATAACTAGTTAAAACTTTTGATTACTTTATATATAGCAGCAGTTTTTTTTGGATGCATTCAAATATATTTTAAATCTCATTTTCTTAATTGATTAACTCAAATAGGAGAATGTGAAAAAAATATATATTGAACGAAATGAAATTTACAGTAGAACATGATGTATTATATAAATTTTATTTTAGCTTATACTATTTTAATATGAATTTTATGTACAATAGTAAATATTATAAAGGCAGTGATTTTTTGTCTTATGCGAAAAACTAGAATTATTTTAAAGATGATTAAAATTCAAAATTTAATGAATTTGCATCAGAGCTCCATTCCATTCTTTTTCAATTCCTACTATTAGCTCACTTTCTCCCCATATATATATTTATTTAATATATATATATATATCTTGTTCAAATTTTCAATCGTTAATAAAATACTTTCTATTCATCCATTTAAGTTGTTCAAATATATTTTTTAAACTTGAAGTGGATGACACTTGATATTAATACAGTTTTTTCAAATATTAATTATTTACCAGTTAATTAATTTAATTAATTACCGGTTTTCGACGCCAACTTAGATTCGTCTCCATTGTTGTAACAATGTAACTGTTAAATCAATGACAAAAGTTGGCGTCGAAAATCGGTTTTTCAGCCTAACCGGGTGGGCATTGTTACAACAATACACACAAATCAAGCTCTTTTTTCCGACAACTAATTCACTCTCAATATATATATATATATATATATATATATCTTGTTCAAATTTTCAATCGTAAATAAAATATTTTCTATTCAACCATTCAAAGTACTTTAAAAAAATTTATATTACTTGTTATAATTGAATTTCCATTCTTTGAAATTGATTTTTCTATATTTCTAATCAGCCAAAAAGCATTTTGATTTTAATAAACATCCTAAGAATTTCCCAAACTAGAAATATTTACGAAACAACTCTTCATTTTTGCTGCATTAATATTTTCAATACTCTCTGCTTATACTTAAAGAAATCCCACCAAATTCCCGCTGACATTCCAGTATCGGACATATTTTTCCCTATAATACCTCTAAAATCCCTCCTCGATACAAGAGAAAGTCATAATTCTCATTCCTGAAATTAATTCAAGAAAGCCCGCTATTAAATACTCATCCGATTAATCAAGCAATCCTTTTCTGAGAGCTTATTTGAGTCCATATAATTAAATAATAATTCATTTCTGGAGCAATTTGGTAGAGAGACTATCATTAGTTATTGATAACTATCCGATGCCCTGAAAAGTAATTATTTTAAACATGGCACAGAAAATCAAACACAATAAACTTACACTGTTCTTTATCCTTTTGCAAGGAAATGATTAAATCAGGCATAATTTATATTCCAATTTCACTATCGAATGATTTTGTGCTTTTTTTTTTAATTTTTTCTTAAGTATTTTAAATGGCGCTTTAAAATTGTAGTTTGGGGGGTTTTTTTTTTTTCGTTTGCTGTTCTCTACGACAAAAATTTTATAAATCGTATAGTTTGTAATTGCTTATTAATTTATTAAACATCGTCCCGATGTCTTTCGTGCATCTTTGTGTAGTTATTGTTTATTTATAGAGAAATCAGATTATTAAAATAACTATACATAATACGCGTGGCACATAAATTCATTTCAGATATGATAGTTAAAATGCAAATTGTTTAACTTGATGTTTCATAATTTTTTTTTCTTATTTAGAAATGAAATAAAATTATTAAAATAATCTTTGATTTATGTTTACGAAAATTGTATTACATACTGTATAAGGTGGCTAAATATTAATTCGAAAGGAAAAAATAACAAAAACAACTAATATAAACAAATGTAAGTCAATTCCTACGCAGGTCAACAAAGAAAAATTTCAATTTAGCTAGTTTTTATTAAATAGTTACAATTAATATAAATATGTACATACATATGACAGAATCACAATATTAAGTGACAAAATAGAAAGCGAATTTCTTCAAACAAAAAAAAATTCCATTTCCCTTCTATATGTGGTGTTGGACTGTTTTTTTTTTTTTTTTTTTTGTTACTCTTTATTCATGCATTAAATTAAATTATTCTAAGAAAATAACGAAATCACATTTTCAGAAATAAGCCCATCCCAGGTGGAATTCGAACCCATGCCCTTTGAATTTGGAGTCTAACGCGCTACCCATTGCGCTACAGGGACACAGCCAGCAGCTTTTCTTTCTATTATGTTGTTGGACTATTATTTTTGTTTGTTACTATTCATTCATTTTTTACTTTAATTAATGAATTAATATTTGAAAAAACTGTATTAACCTCAAGTGTCATCCACTGCAAGTTTAAAAAATATATTTGAACAACTTGAATGGATGAATAGAAAGTATTTCATTAACAATTGAAAATTTGAACAAGATATATACACTGGTTTGCAAAAATTAAGGACGAGACGGTTTTTTCAATATAACTTTGTACAAAAGCATTCCAAATCAACACATTTAATACCGTAGGATCCCCAATACGTGAGTAATGTAAGCAACACTTACTAAAAGAGAAATCAGAGGGATAAAAAAAGAAGCTTTATTGAAAAAGTAGCATGGAGCGCAATGCGACTGAAGGCCGAAACATCCCTGTGATGGGTGTCCAGTAAGAAATATCCGGTCTTTAGTAGGGGATATGATCTACCCTGACTGCTAGGCATTTTTCACAGCGTCTGCCCATGCTGAGAATGAGGGTGTCAATGAGTTGTTGAGGCATTGCTGCCCATTCGTCTTGCAGCGCCAATCGAAGCTCCGGAATCGTTACTGGTGGTAAGGTACGAGCTGCCAAGCGTCTGCCTAGAAAATCCCATACATGCTCGATGGGATTGAGATCCGGAGATCGTGCCGGCCAATCCATACGTTCAATATCCTCACTCTCTAAGAGCTGTTCGGCAGCTACTGTGCGATGACATGGTGCATTGTCGTCCATGAAAAGGAACTGCGGACCCATAGCGCCTCTAAAAAGACGCACATATGGAAGAAGAATCTCGTTACAATAACGGGTCCCGTTGACTGAACCTGCGTCGAAGATGTGAAGGTCTGTACGACTACCAAGCATGATGCCTCCCCAAACGAGAACACCGCCACCTCCATACCTGGCCCTTTCAATGATGTTCGAGGGATGATTGCGGCTTCCCCACTCTCTCCAGATGAGTATGCGATGAGAATCGCTACTCAGACTGAATCTGCTCTCATCTGTAAAGAGTACTCGCCCCATTCATTGTCTCTCCAATTCCGGTGTTCCCGGCACCACAGAGAACGCCTTCTCCGATGGGCAGGCGTTAGAGGTATACACCGTACAGGGCGTCGTGCAAACAGACCACCACCGTGCAGTCTTCTGGCCACGGTAAAACGCGATATTGGTCGTCCAGTCGCCTGTGTCGTGTGTCTAGCGATTTCTCCCGCTGTCTGCCGTCTGTTTCTTCTGGCCTGTAAGGCAATATACCGGTCATCTGCGGGTGTGGTTCCTCGTGGACGACCACTACTGAACCCCCGGATAGCTGTTACTGTAGTTTGAAATTGTCTCCAAAGTCGTGAAACGATACTGTGAGCAATTCCGAACTCTGCAGCCACACTTGTCACACTGCGACCTTCCTCCAACTTCCCAATGATTCGACCTCGGGTAAAAGCATCCAAATGTTGTCTAATAGATTGATTATTCGCCATTTCTCGCTGAGGCAGCAACTCGGTGTGATTTTAACTGCTATACGGTGTGCAATCTCTTTGCCAGAATACTAATCTTACACCGACAACATGCTTTACTACTCAGACACTCCCCCATTACGTCTACCTGCATATCTGCGCATGTGCTACCGTACATCACCTGACTTAATCTCCTGATTGGTCTTTCTGTCCGCTCTGCCTCTTCGTTCAGCTGATATACTAGTTTTTCGACTTCGTCCTTAATTTTTGCACACCAGTGTATATAGGGAGAGAGGGAACTAAAAGCAGGAATTGAAAAAGTCTTCTTATGGGCTGTATCAAACAGATTCCAGCCAAATTTACTTGACATCAATAATGTTTGTATGTTTGGAATAATTAAATTGCTCCAGAATCTATGGTAGAAAATAAATTTAAAACTTTTTAATGTTGTTGCATGATTAGAGGATGAAACAAATATTAAATCGCAAAATCGAACTAAACCATTTCAAATGCGAGGACGTGGAGACTAATATGTCATTTCATGATTTATAAAAACAACATAGAGCTATGGAAGTATGAAAATAATGAAATCAGTAGCTTAAAAATAATTTAGAAAAGTTTCAATAAACATAGTGCTTTACTGAAAAATACATCAATATCATATTGTATAATTTCGATTTATTTTCATAGATTTTAACTTTTATATGCAGTACGGGATTTTTTGCCTTAGAAGATAACACGGTAAGATTTTTAAATTACCCTTAATTCAAGCATCTATTTATACTATAGTACTTAAAAAGTTTATTGACAGTTAACAATCAACGTATACTCGCATGTTTTTCACGACATCGAATTCCTCTATTTCTTTAAAGAAAATATAGTACCTAAATGATTTGAAATTTAAAAAATGCAAAATATTTTGAGCACGTTTTCTCTGTTTCCTAATAAAAACTTTTTTTTTGCTTTGTTTCTTATTTATTTTAAGATGTTTCTTTGAAATCAGCTGAAATCTACTGAAAAATTTTATCGAAGCATAATGCATGAACCCCTTGATTAAAAATGAGGCAGTTTTAATAACTTATAAAATTTGATCAAAGAAAACCTACAACGAAATAATTAGACTTCTCTCAAATATAATCATGGAAGAAAATAAACTTTCTTTGATTTAGTAAGAGTATTAGATATACAATGGACTTTTCATGGTGCTTAATTCTAGTTTTCACCGATGAGAGATTAAATCGTCAGATATATCATGCCTTGTTAAGCTACATTAAAATATTCATTATTTTTTTCAATTTTCATATTTTGATCAAATTGCCTGTTAGATTTTTTTACGGGTAAAACAAATTAATGAGAATCATACCTACTATTTTTTCTACAATTATGTTAAAACAAGATTTTCTCTGCATTTTTAATACAATAAAAATCTACATTGATCTGTTCATTATAGGTAAAACAAAGTAATGAATATCATACCAACTATTTTTTCTACAATTATGTTAAAACAAGATTTTCTCTGCATTTTTAATACAATAAAAATCTACATGGATCTGTTCATTATACATCAAAGAAATACCTTCTCCATTGCTTTAAAGATTCCACTGTTTACTTTAATAAATGGCATTTTAGAAAAAAATTATGTCCAATGGCACATTAAAATTCAATTGAATATCGAAAGAGATAAGAGTAAATATATAAATTAAAACGAGCTATCCTGTAGCGCTACCAGATTGATGACTGAGGAAGAGCAGGACTTCTGTATAGGTGAGGCACATCCATTCCTTTGTGACGTTTGATATAAATAAGGGTAGCGTGACATTTATTAATTTAAATATTTAGTTTATTTACTTCACAGCCATTAATTACAGTACATACATTGAAGTTATTAAAAATATTGTTTTGATAATTAGAGTTCAAATTCTGTTGTTTGTGAGGGATGAGTTTGCATCCGTTTTGAGCAAAGTTTTCAAACCGTCTCCTCTCTACCCTCTCTAGGGTCTCCGAGATGTGAGTGAGGGAGTGAATATTAACGTCGCACTATTCAGCTACACGAGGGCTTTTGGCGATGAACCTCGTAATTTTGAATCATGGTCAAGTGACGAGAACTACACTTAAACTGGCACCTCCCTCTCCTAACTACCACACCACACGACGGGAGGATGTTTGAGCTCTGGACAGATTTAACATGTATTGCTCCCCTACATGGCGTGTCTTCAATGGTACTGGGCTCGAACTCATGACAAGCCAGACACGAGTCCGTTACCTTGACCACTAGGCTACCACGGCCGGGTCTCCGGGAAGATAGCAATCGAGCTCTTTATCCTCGAGTTACATCCGGTTCGTGGGTGGAGTAAGGGGGGTTCCCTGTGGTGTCAAAAGTTGCCGGGGCGATGACCAAGACAATAACGTGCAATATTTTAAGGGCGTGGGTGTTCATTGAAAGTGGTGATCATATCCACAAAGAGAAGCCGATTTATACCTGTGTGACGGGAAACGTTACACCTTCGTGGAGATCACAAAGGGTGCAAAAAGAGTCAAGAGCTATCATTAATGCAACATAGATCAGATTTATAACGTTTTCAAAAATAAAAATAACTTCTTCATTAGCACTAGGTTTCGAACCCGTGATTTGATAATACCGACCACAAGTGATTTCACGACCCTGACCACTCGTCTTCAGCGGCCCCCTCAAAAGTCTGATACAAAACACATATCCTCTAAACAGGCTTCATCTTATATATTAACCAATAGGGAAAAAAACAAAATATTTAGTTGAGCCCTATTGAGTTTCCAGATCCTCCTGCCAATTCCCAGCAGCATCGCTGTTATGAATTGCATTCATACAAAAGATAAATCCTCTCCGCAAACACATACCACTTTCGTTCTGAAAGACAGGACTCGATACAGGTCAAAAAATGCCCCGGAGGATATTCGAAATCGCAATTATGTTCTACGTAAAAATCCAGAGAAGCACTCTTGCGATTCGGATTTCGGTATGACAAATATTGCAAGGGAGTTTCCGGACGAAGTTAAGATAAAAGGGAGGGGGAGAAAAGATGAATAGGTCCCTTTTTTTCTCCTTCTTATCAAAATAGTGTATTTCCGTTTTCTATAGATTCCGGAGAAGTGAGGCGTCAATCAAAATCAATTGGGACGATCTCCATTGGCTGTGTTTTATTGTGGCCCAATGGCGATGTCGGACGTGACTTGTTGGTTCGAGCAGACCGCTAGATGAGAAGTTCGCGTGAATTTATGGCTTCATATTTCGTTGTTGTAGCGCTATCTATGAATGTGGGTTGTTGTGACACTATCAATGAAATGATGCTATACAAATTGTGAAGAACTTTTTGTTGATAGAAACGACGATGGTTACTAGATGCTTGAGAAATATATTAAGCTGTTTTAGAAAAATATTAAATTATTAATTTAAATAGAAAAAAATTGACTGCTTGCATCACAATATAAAAATTTTTTTAAATATTTATATTATCAGAATATATTTAAAGGTCTTATTTTTTTTTCA